GAAAAAAAAAAAATTTACTTTCCTAGGCTTAAGTCCTGATTTAAAAATAAAGCCCAGTAGAAACTTTAAGGGAGGGGTGGGGCATCTCTTAAGGGACCCCCACCCCTACAGCTAGCTGGCCTTGAATTCTGGGGTCCCACAAGCCCTGCTGACAGCCTGTGCCCCTCACCAGTTCCGCTGGGTAGAGAAGCATCTGGGGCCCCAGTTCGTGGAGCGCATCATCCTGACCAGGGACAAGACAGTGGTCTTAGGGGACCTGCTCATCGATGACAAGGACACCATCCAAGGTTGGACCAGTTTTCCCGGCGGCCTGCAGGGTCAGGGAGGGCAGCAGTCACAGCGGACACGCGCAGCCTTTCTCTCCTGTCCTGTCCAGGCCAAGAGGAGACCCCGAGCTGGGAGCACATCTTGTTCACCTGCTGCCACAATCAGCACCTGGCCCTGCCCCCCACGAGGAGAAGGCTGCACTCCTGGGGCGACAACTGGAGGGAGATCATAGTCAGCAAACGGGGAGCCCTGCAGCTGGACCCAAAAGGCCAGAGATGATGCAGGAATAAGCCAGGGACACTTGGTGGGAGGGGGCAGAGCAGCGTCTGGCAGGCTAAGAGGAGAGATAGGAGATAGTGTCGGGAGGGCTCACAGGCCAGGCCAGCGCAGAACCTGGGGGCAGCCCTGGGGAGGGGGCGAACCAGACCAGAGGCTTTTAATAAAACACTTTGGCCCACTGTTTTTTTAAGGCCCTTTATTTGGGAAAGGAAAGGGATAAGGCCCCTGGGGGGGTGGAAGGAGGGAGTTGGGACTGAGGCTGATGAGCTGGCCCAACTCCAGGCCCACCTGGATGCCATTACTCTGGCAACCGCTTTACTTAGCCCTAAGGTCAAGCTGAAGGGAGGCTGGACCCCCACTGCTCTGAGCCCCAACTTTCCATGGGGTCCTGTCCTTGTTGGAAACTGCATGCCGGCACCTGCACATCCGTGTGCCCAGAGCATCCTCTTGCCTGCATCCCTCAGGCCCTCCCGAGCCAGAGACGCACTTCTAGGGGCAGCTGACCCTCACCAACCCTGATGGCAAAAGAGGCTCAGGGGGACTGTGGGGCTGTGAGGGGAGAAGGGTCATTGCCCCCAGGGCCTTGGTCTTAATGTCTAATGGCCATGCTAGTCTTGGGGCCGCCAACCAGAAGTAGGCCCTAGCTCACGTGAAGCCCTAACACGGTGCTTGGCAGACAGGGCCCTACAGATGAAAAGCTGACAGTGGGCACCCACCACCTCCAGTGGCCAGCCTGGAGAGTCTGGAGGGCAGGTGGCCAGTCTCAGAGCCCCAAGAAATGTTTTAATTAGGTCTCTAGTTTCTGGTCCTAAAAGACTCCAGGCCTGGGTGGTACAAGGTAGTCCTTAGTTCCTCAAGTGCAGGCAGGTCCTCTGAGCCCAGGCCCAGCTCTGGTGAGCACCGCCTCTCTCAGCCTCTGATGAGGGAACCAGCTGCTTACAGGAGGGTGAGTGCCTGCAGGGGGTGCCCAGAGGGCTCTCCATCTCCACCTGCTGGCTGACAGCAGGCCCCCTGGGGCTTCCCTCTCCCGCCTAATACCTGGTCCTCACGGTGTAAATACCTGTCACTTAGGCAAAACTCACCTTTGAAGTGGCTGGAAAGGTGCCATTTGGGAGTGTGTTCAGTGGGAGCTCGGCTGAGCCCCCAAGGGAACTTGGGCCTGTCTGGCTTTGAGGCTGCCGAGGCCTTGAGGGCTCCTTCGGTCAGGGCTGCTGTGGGGCCTCAGTCCTTGGCAGCGGAATGCCCAGGGCAGAGTGAGCCTGCCAGCTGCGGGCTTCGGCCACCTGGCTGGGGGAACAGAAGTCTTCCAGGAAGATCCGGGCCAGGTTCTGCAGCCTGGTGTTGGCTGACAGAGAGAAGCGCAGCATGCACTGCACCACGGGTGCGCTGGTCAGCTCAGGGTGGGCGCCGGGGCCCGGCGAGCTCAGGTACATGATGGTGGTGACCGCTGACAGCACAGTCTCCTCGTTGGGGCTGGACAGGCAGTTGATGATGAGCGGGACGCCCCCCGTCTGCAGGATGTGCTCCTTGTTGGCCCTGTCTGAGCACAGGTTGCAGAGGCCACCTGGGGAAGAGCAGCATGTGAGGGCCGCGGCTGCGCCGCCTCGCCCCTGCCTAAGAGTCCCAGGCCTTCGAGGTCTCCTGAGGACAGTTCCTGCTCCTTTGGAACTGGCCACTAGTTCCTTCTTGGTTAAGCCAGTCCAGTAAAAAAACAAGATCCATGTGCCCTCCCTGGTGGCACAATGGGTTAAAGCGCAGCACTAGGAAGCTGTCGCAGCCACTGCAGCACGAGTTCAATCCCGGCCAGGGTGGGACCCACAGGGCGCTGCAGACCTCCCTGACCTGCCTGCTGCTCCCCTCAGCACTGAATTTTAGTGGATCTGCACCATCCAGCTCAGCCCACCTCCCGTTCCCTGGTGGTCACCAACCGCCGCCCACCCCAGGGCCTTTAAGGTCGCACCTCCCATATGCTGCCACCCTTGTGCTGGTAGCCAGCACTTCTCTGCCCTCTGTAGTCACCCACATGCCGCACCTGCTATGCCAGGGCACTGCCCCCCTCGCCCCAATTCATGTTCTGTCTGTGCTCAGAATGAAGATCATCTGGCAGGTTTGTTTCTGCCCAGCAGCAGCGAGCAGATAGAGGCTTGTCGTTCTCCCCCCCCAGTCCTCAGTGGCTGGCATGTGAGGCATTCAAGTACCTGCTAGAAGCATTTGCAAGCCACAAGCAGGGGCTGCCAGAGCTGCAGAGGGCTGGGGCCAGAGGGAACAGCTCCCTGAGATCCTGTCTGCCTTGACCTCTGCATGGGAGCCCAGGGTGGCCGAAAGGACACCTCTGAGGCTGAGGAGAGGGAGACCCAGCACACTAACTGCGAGGACACTGTCTTCAGGTGGAACACTGGAGACCCTCCCTTCAACCTCCACCTCAGCATTGGCCACCCCCGTGGGGCCCTCCTGTCCACTGCCCCACCACTGGGTACCATCTGGCAGGATCCTGCTTGCATATTTACCTCTGCGCCAGGTGCCCGCAATGTGGATACTTACTGGACACATGTTGAGAACAGGACCGAACCCCACAAAGTAAGATTTACTACCCCCATGGAAGACACTGAGGTTGTTGAGTAACTTGTGCAAAGTCCCAGATGCTGGAGAACTCTTTACCACTCCCATGGAAAGTCTCTCCAGAAGCCACCAGGACAACTAATCCTGCCGCGGGCAGATGCCAGGCTCAGCCAGGAGGGACCGTGAGAGGCTCTGGCGCGCTTCTCAGACACGTCCACACCTCGCATGAGCTGTGAGTGGGGAAGCAGCTTCCCAGCGCAGTGCACACTACTCTCTACTCGGGGTGGGCGAGGGGCCTTATCTCTGCTGGGAGGAGATAAAGTAAAGCCTGAGTCACTCCCTGGCAGGTGAGTCATCTCACCCAGGTGTGCCTAGGTGGGGCACTGCCACCCAGGCCAGGCATAATCTGCTGGGGGTGGGGCAGGAGGAGGCCCCAGCTGCTCCCCTTTGGAGACCTGACATGCCCCCGAGGGTGACCAGCTGCCGGAACCCCCACTGCAGGAATCTCTTTATAGCCCCACCTCTCTGAGTGAGCCTCAGAGAGGAAGAGTGAGGACTCGGGAGAAGGGCCTCAAGGGGCAAGAAGGCCGAGTTGGAGAGTCTCAGATGGAGGGAGAGGGCCCACGAGGAGGGCTTTCCCTGCCCTGCCCCTTCCTGCGAGCTCACCCTGGAGAATAAAGGAGGGTGAGAGAAAACCACCACAGCGCCCGGGAGCAGCCTCCATATTGCCCAACGAGCAAAGGCTGGTAACTACATCAGGCGCATCTGTCAGGCAAAAAATGACACAGCTCTAAAAGTCGTAATTTCCCACAATGTTTTGCGGACAAATGCTTGCATTGTAAGGTTAGGGGGAAAAAAGAAAGTCAAGTTGTATGTACAATAAAGTTGCAGTGAAAAAGGTCCCATAAAATAGTGGCCTCCAAGAGCCTTCCAAGTGCCCCCTAGCCAGCTACTCCTGCTCAGCACCCCTTCAGTGTGCCCCGACTTCTCAGTCTTCCTAGCTGTCAACACCTTTAGTGGCTGCTGTCCACTGAATCACAAAGTTCACAAGACAGAGGACTCGGTCTTGTCCTGTTCCGTATTTCCAGCCTGGCATACGGCAGGTACTCAAGAAGCAATTGTTAAATAGATTCAGTTTTTTAAAAACAGCCTGGAAACCTATCCAAATGGTAGTGGTTATTTCCATGTAGTAAGATTCGGGGTAATTTTAATTTTCTTTATTATTCTCCTTGTTTTCCAAGTTTTCTTGGACGAAAATGTTGCTTTTATAACCAGGACAAAGAAGGTATTCTTTTTTTTTAAATCTGAATGATACTCATAAGGGAAATAAAACATCAAAAGACACCATTTTAAAAAAGCAAAAAGACAAGGGCCCTCCCTGGTGGCGCAGCAGGTTAAAGCACTGCACTGAGAATCTAAAGCCACTTTCGCATGAGTTCAATTCCCGCCTGCCCCGGAGGTGACCACATGGTGCGGCAGACCTCTCCTGACCCGCCCGCTGCTCCCCTCAGCAGTGTACTTCGTCGATCTGCCTGTTCTGTTCCCCACTCTGTCTCTGGTGAAGCCTCTCACCGCCCCTGAGCCTCTGGCCTGTACCCCAGTTCTGTATGCACAAATAAATAAATCTTTAAAAAAAAAAAAAAAGCAAAAAGACAAAAAGGAAAGATATTCATAGAATTATCTGCTAGAGAACTTGCACTGAGAATATAAAGAACTCCTTCCAGCATTCCAATAAAAGGTAAAAACAATTAAAAAGTAAAGAAAAATATTTCAACAAACTTTCACAAAAAGGTCAATGTAGACAAACAAATGAAAATTAAATCGATAAAAAGATGGCACCCACCATACACCCACCATGATGGCTGGGACGAGGAGGGCAGACAGTGCCAAGTGCGGCCGTCAGGTGGGCTGTGTGCTGACGGAAGGCGAGCCTCGGCGTGACTGTGTTCGAAAACTATTTGGCAGCTATGTTTTTTTTTTAAGATTTATTTATAGATACAAAAACTGGGGTACAGGCCAGTGTTGCAGGGGGTGAGGCAGAGTGGGGAGCAGAACAGGTGGACCTACTGAAGCTCACCACTGAGGGGAGCAGTGGACAGGTCAGGAGAGGCTGCTGCGCCCTGTGGGTCAGGTCCCTGGCGGGGATCAAAATCCCGCAGCAGCTGCGGACAGCTTCATAGTCCTGCGTTTTAATCCCTTGCACTACCAGGGAGGCCCTGTTGGGCAGCATTTTACTGTCTGGTACTCACTCACCCTATTTCTCAGCAGCTCTCCTCCTACAGGAACTCCAGAAAAGTGAGTTCATACGGGTACAAGAAGACCGATATCGAAAAAGATCACCACAGCCTCGTTCATACAGGTTCCCAACTACAACGAACGCGAATCTCCACCACGGATGATGAGCAAACTACGGCCCGTTCATTCAAAGACCTGAACTGCTGATACTTGCACAATTTGGATGAGTCTCGTAACACTGAGAGAAAGAAAGCAGACACAAGAGTTCGCCTTGTGTGATTCCCTGTACCTGAAGCTCAAGATCAGATATGGGAGTGGGGGACAGAAGTTGGAAAATGGGGGTGTTGGGGTGGAAGATACTAGCTGGGAGAGCCTGTAAGAGACATTTCTGGGGAGGTAGACACATTTTATGTCTTAAGTGCCAGGTACATAAAACCTTACGAGTTAAACCAAACTCATCAAACTGACACTTGATATGTGCATTTTACTGTCTGATGATCACGCTGTAATTAAAAGACATGATTACCAAACAGAAAGGGCAAGCTCTGACTGGCTGATGAACATGTTTTGGGCAAACCAGACGCAAGAGAAACAGAACAATAAGCAAAAACCGGGCCTTCTAGATGCAGGAGCCACAGGGGTCTTCAGTAGAGGCAAAGAAAACTCAAGTGCTCCTGGGCTGAGAAAGCCAGAGGTTCAGAGAGGTGAGGCGGCGGACTCTGGATCACACAGCAAGTGGAGCATGGGGTGCTGGGAGATCAGGTCACACAGACCTGGGGCCTGGGCAGGGCCGCCCCAACTGAGGGCACTGGCTGGCTGCAGTCCATCCTCGGGTGCCAGCCACTGTGGGGTGGGGGTGAACAGAGGTGTAGGCATATGCGCACCCTGGGGGCTGAGGAGGAAAGGCCAAGAATGGAAGTGAGCGCTCTCTGAGAAGACCTTGTAAAATGGGTCTGACTTGGGGCCTTCCTGGTGGTGTGGGGGTTCAAGACACAGCACTACCAAGCTATGGCACCGCAGCAGACCTCTCCTGCCTCCCCGCAGCAGTGGATTTTGGTGGATCTGCCTGTTTTCTGCTCCCCACTTCTGCTCCCTACTTTGTCTCTGGGGAATCTGCTAGCCCCACCCCTCTGGCCTGTATGTACCCCACTGTATGCCTGAATAAATAAGTAAATAATAGCTCTGACTTAAACTGATGCCGCTTTCAAATGATAAAAACAGCAAACTGTACCAAAAGAAACAACATCACGGCTGTCCCACAGCAGCCCGAGACGGCGTGCGCCCGCAGGCCACTCCCAGCAGTGCTGCGGCAAGTGCGCACTGACGTGCACGTCCCGGGCTGCACAGCGGCGAGAGCCGCCGGACAGAAGCTGCACTCTCGGCCCAGCCGGGCGGCCGCCGCCCCGGGCAGCCAGGCAGCTGTGTGTGGGCCGACGCGCACGGGCGCCGACACAGGGCATCGGAGAAGTGAATCAGCAGCAGGACATAGCGTGGTCTAGTGCTGACGCTCGCAGACCGTGCGAAAAGCAGAAGCGTGAACATAACACGGATTTGCCTGGAAAACTCAAGGTGTCCCTGGGAGGATACCCAAGAAACGACAAGAAACGTGGCCGCGGACTGCTCGTCACATACGCTGAACACTCTCTCTCGCCATGGGGCTAGGACAGGGAGGTCGGTGAGGCCAACCTGGTCCAAGAGAGGGTGCCCTGGACTCGGCCTTCTGGCGAGGAGGGAGGAGCAGGGGCTAAGAGCTGATGGTGCCACCTCCCG